GAATCGTCTCGGTGAGCTGAATCCAATGGTGGTTGTTTCATCCAAATTGGTTCGGTACATCAAAAGTTATGGTCAAATATGTGTAAAACTCTTAATGTTAACAATATATTTAAAGAATCTGTAATATTCAAATATACAAGTAAATGTGCAATTCGTATTGTTACTTTTTTTCACTACTCTGTATATTTTATGACTAAGCTTCATGATAAACAAATGAATATTTTAAAAAATATATTAACTTAGTTACACCAAGCATAACTAGATAGAATAGTTATTTTGAATGTTTTGATAGTATTCTTAAAAGCAAACATCTGTTAAAAGTAAGTTTTTTATTATTAAATCATTAAAAAATTTATTTAGTATTTACTAGAGGTGAAAATCACTGCTATATATTTATAAATATTATACAATTTATTAAAATTTTTATTTAATTTTTAAAGCAAATTAATTATAATTAAAAATTATAGTTTTTAAACTGCTAAACATTTTAACTAGTTTATTAAATATTAATTATTAAAGTTGTTTTTAGAAATATAATATATCTAGTAAATTTTATCTAAAATTATAATAAATTTTTATTTAGACTCTTGTTACCAAAGACAATGCAGCCTTAAATGATGATTTGAAGCTTCTATTTAAGATTAAAGTTGCTATTAATTATGATTCTTTTTGGGATTTTCTTGTAATATTATATGATTTACTTTATCTTTTTTGTAAAGCATTTAATTTTATGCAGCATAACAAGACACATCTTCATAATGTTTTATATACCTTTGGTTTTTTTATAAAAATATTTAAAGAACTAGAAGAATCACAATTTCGAACTAAAATGATTGAAAAACTTGAAAAAAGATGGGCCACTTGGAAGCAACTATTGCTTCTTCTTTCTTTTGTTCTTCACTCTTTATATCAATTAGATTATTTAGATTAAACACAGTTGTATATTAATTTTATACACATAGGTGCATGACTATCATATTATTACAAGGCTTGGTTTGGTGTTGATCCAAACTATTTACTTCATGAACTCGAACTTTACAAGCAACTAAAATATCCTTTTATTAAAGAAACTTTTTAACTAATTTAAAGATAATATTGTTTTTTGGTGATCACATAATTCTGGTGCAGCACCAGAATTGAGCCATATTGCATGTCAATTATTTGGCATATGTATTACAACTGCCTCAGTAGAGAGAATATTTTCTACTATGGGTTTTTTACACTTTTCATTACGAAATAGACTAAATGTAAGTTACTATATATTTTTTGAATTATACTAGTATTGCAGGTAGATCATTTTAATAATTGCTGTAACTTTTGCTGTAACTTGCTATAACTATCTTTGTAAAATGTAATAATTATTATAAGTTATAGCATGTTTGCTATAACTTATAATAATTATTTCATACTACAAAGATAGTTACAGTAATATGATAAGTTACAGCAAAAATTACAGCAATCATTAGGATGATCTACTTGCATCACTAAATTATACAATTTATTTTATTAATTTTTTAATTGTTTAATAGAATAAAAAAGTAATCACAATGAGCCAACTATATGCAAAAATTTTATGAGCTTATAAAACAAAATTAAGCCTCTATATTCAATCAAATTATCCTTTTTCTGTTTTACATTCTTTCACTGATTCTGTTATTAATACTTCTTTAGCTTTTGAAGAAGCTAATAATGATAATGTAAATAAAAATATTTCTTCAAAAGCCAATTGGGATGCTATAACTAATGAATAAGAAGAATTGTTAATTGATGAAGAGTTTGAAGAAGAGTAGGATAATCTTAACAATGTGGCAATAGATTTTTTTAATTTAGAAACTCATCCTGCTGAAAATTAAGCTGCAAAGTGGAAATTGTATAATTTGTTTATATCTGATTTGCCTTTTTTATTTGAAAATTCTTGAATTGTATACCAACATATATAAAGTTTAGTATAACATTTGAAGATTGGAAAAGTCTTATATAATGGTAAATAAAATTAATTCTGAATCTACTTAAGCAAATTTGGGATCCCAAAATATCTTAAATATATAGAACTAGTAAAACATTTAATATTTTTGATTATGGAGTATGGCGACCTAGTGAAGTGAATAGGTTGTCAACCCCCAAGTGGCAGGTCTAAGGTTCAATCCCACAGACGACGAATTTTGGAAATTATATCTGTGTTTCGGTAACTGTCTCTACTGATCAGTTGGGTTTTGGGCATCTGTAATCTTAGATACACCAAGTTGGACCTTACCTGATATTGGAAGCTCAGGGCATCTATGCAAAGTGTAACATTACACAGTACATATACATAGAGGAATGTAAAACCAGTGTCGTATAAGGCTTTGGGCAAACCCATGATAAGTCCCTCAGGCATAGAAGGCTAAAAAACTGAAGAAATGGAAACCCACTTGGAAATCCTGAGTAAAGAGGTAGCACAAACTTTCAATGGTGCCATTGGACTGATGGAAGTTCATGAAACACCTTCATAGGAACTGTTGAATAAACTGGATGACAAAGATGTGTAGAGAAGCATATGACCAACCAGGCTGCTGGAATCGCTAGAGGAAAAGGATACATAAGTATACTATACTAGGCTATCTGGATTGGGAGTCTGGGGAGTAGGTTAGTTCCGAGTTGCGGCTAGTAGGGGATGATGGAGAAGAAGTCAGAAAGATGGATACCAGGGTTTAGATGAACTTTACAAGGGTAATAGCAGTTTAAGGGGTAACCCTAACTGCAAGTGTTGGTCTCAGCCATAGCATTAAAACTAGGTTAGCAGTAAAAAGTGAATACAGCTCACTCTGGTAGATTTACCTTGAGGATAACTGTCCTATGGTTAAAAGCGAACAGATCTAGGTTTGTGATCCAGTGAAATTAATACTAGGGTTAGATCAGAGGGTTTAAATAGAACATCTAAGCAGGAGTGTTAGGTACGGCAACTGGTGGAGAACCCTCGGGCGGACTTCTTAAATAGGTAATATAGAAAAGTTACATGTGTAGCCAGTTGTATACTCGTCTAATAGTTCAATATGGATACATCTGTATAAAACATATACTCGACATAAGTATTAATAAAAAGCTAGTACCAAAGAGGTCACCTTAACACCGAAAAAAAATATATATATATTTTTGATTATATAAATAAATTATTTTTTGTTTATTGCTTATTTTTTCAATTAAGAATTTATTGATATATAATATTATAAGAGTAATAGCTATATAATATTATTCCTATATTTGCTTTTATAATTGGAATTTGTACAAGAGAGTTTCAGAATTAAAATGCAAAAATCGAATTTTAATAAATATATTAATTTTCAAATAAGCAATGTATTGATGGCTATAATTTATTTATTAGTATTGAAATTTGGCTTGGTTCTCTTACTTAATCAGCTCAACTTTCTTCATACAAGTCTTATTATAGCAAGCTCTAGTATAATAAGCTATAGATCCTTAAATATTATATTAGTTTTGTATAAAAGACATAATAGGCATTTGAAAAAAATAATATATGGATCTTTTTTTTCTTTATTCTTTTGTGAAGTGAAAAATAATGTGAATATAATATAGTTTGATTAGTTGATTGTCACATGTTGTGTTGATAGCCAACCATGTAATCGACTAATAATAAAAAGGTTATTCTATATGTCCAGTTCTATGTTCATTGCTTTAATCGAACAATTCAGATACTGGATATCAGACAGATTTTTATTGTTGAATTCTATTTGTACTAACCTTGTACTATACTGGGCCATCTGGATTAGTAGTCTGGAATGAGACTGATGGTTCTGAATTATGGCTAGTAGAGGATAATAAAAAAGATGCTAGAAAGATAGATACTGGGATTCTAGTGAACTTTACAAAGATAAAAATAGTATAACATAGTGGTTAAACAGGTAACTCTTGTGATTGCAAGTATTAGGTAACTATAGCATGTTGCATAAAACTAGGTTTATATGTGTGGAATATAAAGGCTCTAGTAAGTTTTTTGTCAAGAATAAACTAGTCCTAAGAGTAACAACAAGCATCAAGAACTTGAATAGATATAGTCTTGAGATGTTTCTGTAATACAAAAAGGACTGCATATGCAGAAGATTTAAACAGGCAAGACCCCTAGTCAGCTTGCAAATATGGCAACTAGTGTAAAACTTATATAGCAATGTATAAGCAGACTACTTAAATTAGGCACCAAAAGTGCATGTGTGGTTAGTTGTAATCTTCAATATAAAGTAAGCCCTTAGTGGCATATCATGTTCTAATATACTTAAATAAAAATATTGCATCCCCAAGATAGGAACTTTAACTATAAAAAAAAATAAAAATAAAAAAATAAATATATAAAAAACTAAAAATTATCAATTTGTATATTTTAATTAAATTTAAGCATTGTTTTTTTTAGCAGAAATAATATACTAAATATTAAATTAAAATTTATTAATAATTAAAAATTAATTGATAAAAATAATTCAAATAAATTTTTTTAGCTTAGTTATTATTATAAATACAAAATTAGAGCAAAAAAGAATAATAACAAAGTATTTATTAATTATCAAAAATCTGCAAAGATAAATAATTCTAATAGATTCTGTTAAGTTGATATTGTTATTATTTAAGAATTAAGAATTAAAATAAATAAGCATAAAGCATATATACATTATTTAAAGTTAGCTGCAGCAAGTAATTTTATAAACATTTTTAAAAATACAATTTGCTATAAATATAAAGTTAGTATAGAACAGAATAATGGTAAGTTTTAAAGAATAGATTAAAAAATAAGTTATTTGCTAATGTTTATAAATATTGTTACAAGGTTGTAGCCTTCTTGGTACAATACAACCAAGTAACAAGGTCACCCGGTACAGTGATTGACTATTGCAAATATATACGGGGTGGAGGTGTAGTAGTTCACTTTACTACACAGCAGCAGGCAAACG